TCGTCCGCCTCCGCCCGAGCCAGTCAGTCGATTTCCTTCCCAAGCGGCCACGATTAACGACTCTTAACTGTCGTCATTGGACGGCCTTACTTTCCAAACACAATTCGCTTCTCATAGTGAGAAGGGTAAAGAGAAATTCCCTTGAAAGCGCAATTCGGATTGAATAGCACGTAGAAAAGAGAAAAAACGAAACGAAATGGTCTCTCATGGTTTTATTGAGAGAGCGTATGAAAGCAAAAACGAGTTTTAAGATGATATAAAAATTTCGTTGGGAGCAGGGTCTTTTCTTCTCGTGAAAGTTTCATAGGCAAGTGTCTAACGCAAGGGAATTGAGTAAACGATACACTCAAGGGCGGCCGCGTCGATTAACCGCACCGCGACCTATTTTTTCAAAAGCAGTTTTCAACTATAGACCGGATTCTATGTACGTATTTCATACGTATACGATCTCTTACAGCTTCTAGGTTAAATTCATTTTTCATTCGAATGGAATTAACGTATCACGCGCATCGTTTCGCAAAAGGGGCGAGCCTCTCGCTGTCAAGATGTTTTATGTTTGAATCTAATCTCGCCTGTCGATCGATGACGTTCTATCCCGAAACTCGATCGAAATCGATTTCCATTTGAACGAATCCGTCCACGTGGGATCAACGCGAGAAATCTTTGGAGTCTTACCATCGTGACCGGTTTATATACTTACGATTTTCTTTCTTTGCTACGATTTCACGAAATGTTTAATCGAAAAATGACTTTCTTCGAAATGCATATTTCTAAAAACGAATACGTACTACAGTGGCTGAACTAATTCAGAAAATGCAAATGTTCCGTTTTTTGTACTGTCTAACCAAAGCCGAGTAATTCTACACATCGGTTTGTCCTGAATTTTAAAACTGTCACCGAAAAATCGCTATCAAGCTGCAATATTTTTTGAAAAAAAAAAATGGGAAAAATTTTTGTCCTCTGTTTCAGGACTTTTTTCTTGGGACTATTCTCTTTAAAAAGAGATTTTCTATTTTTAGTAAAAAGAGTCTCTAAGAATGACTTGCAATCTGCAGTGCCACATTCGTGCTGACCCTTAAGAGATCTTCAAGTGAAAACACTGTTAAAGTGAAATCCGTTTTGCGACAACGCTTCTCTAAATGGATTTCCACGAACGGCAATCTCTTTTCTTATCGTAATTTTTCTTCGACACGAGGAAGCTAGATACTTTTGTCCATCGAGTTAACTTGTTTTCAGCGATTCGACTAATCCGCGTTTGCGTTATTCCGTTTCTTATCGGTGGACGGCAATTTCCCCGACGAGTTAAACAACTAAACAGCGTCTGCGGTTCAATGCCGAAATTGTTCACAGACTTTAAATATTGCACGAAACGCGGACGTCTATTCATTTAGTGCACAATAGCCGGAAATCAAGCTGTCCGCGTCAGGGATCACGGGCTACGGACAGCCGGACTCACTCGGATACTCGAAATCGGTTTATTTTACGAAAAAGACGACCTCAGCTGCCACGAGCAAAGCCCCGAAAGCGTTACATCGAACGGCAATCGATATTTAACCTCCCACCGGCGGCGGTGATCGCCAAGCCGAAACAACAAGAAAGCAAACGCAACAGCGTTATAAAACAAACCGCAACGTAGTAGCGCGGACTGACGTTGCATTTTGATCGTAGCTACCTACCAATCGGTACCGTAGATCGAAGCGCTCGTTTATATTTCAATCCGAACGAATATTTCCGGCCTGTCACTCACGTACACCTACATCTTGCTCGACGCCCCTATATTTTTCCTGGCCTTTCAAAAAAATTGACAAGTCTCCCGCCAAACTACTCACCCCTTTGACCGGCCATCGACAAACGTATTCGTTTGTAACTTTTGATCCATTCCTCTTTCACGGATTTTTCCGACCCCTTGAGCCGAACATTATTAACGTGACAGACGGAGATTAATTCGCGACCAACACTAAATGGAATTCAATTCCTTAACTTCGATTCACTTCGACGCTAATAAGGCTACGACGAAATAAGGCTAATTCGAAGTGGAAACTTTATTACAGCGACGTTGTCGTAACTGAATTCTTAATACAACGTACAGTCCCAGGGAAGTTCGAAACAACGGCGTGCCAGCTTTCATCCGGTGGCAACAAAAAGCCAGAAGAATTATTTCGATTTTTCCCCCGTTTATGCGATCGCATCTACGATCGTGGAGCACACCTGGATACAGGTGCCACAAAGGATAAGAGAACAGCTGTCCGTAATTTCTGAGACCTAGAACCACGTTCTCTTGCGTGACGAATGTTTCGGGTCGTAACGAACCACCGAAATTGGAAACGTTTTTTTCTAACTCAAAGGAAACTATATCGTCTATACATACGCATGTGCATCCACAATGCCTATGTATATTTCTTCAAGCAATTAGGTACTCGTATACAGGAAGTGAAAAGATTAACAAAATGTATGACTGTGAAAGGATTTCAGTCATGATAAAATCAAATGAGAAACATTATAAATCTAATTACAATTATAATTATAATAATTATCGTTGATCACGACTATATTAACTGCTTAATCGCCGAACAGAGGGAAACGAAATTTTTTGCGTCGCGACGTCTTGAAGTATCCGTTTAGGAGAAGGCGGATCATCGGTGGTGAGAGGAACACCGAGTCGGCTTTTGTTATCCGGGGGCGCGATGACGCGGCGCGGCGTCGTTCGCGAGATCACCCACCCTCCTCGTACTCCGGGAGGTTTCCCGCGCGCGGCGTCGCGACACGCGAGCGAGCGAGCGGACGTACGAGCAGCCCCCTGTGAAAGAGCGTGGCGCGACGCGCGGCGCGGCGCTGCGCGGTGCACAGAGGCCGAAAAGAAACGGAGAGGAAAAAGGCCGCGCGCGCGTCGGCGTCGCTCGGTGTGGCGGCATTCTAAATTTAGGAGGAAGTATTGATTTTACAATTTGGACCCCTCCCAAAGTAAAAAATAAACCAAGCCAAACGTACTCTACTTTGATAGAGTGCCTCTCCTCTGCGCGGCTCGTTTCGACGCACGGCCGAGACGAAGATACAAAAAGGGAAACACGGGGTAGAAGGGGCCGTGGGGCGGCGGCGCGCGGGCCGTCGCTGTTCGCGAAGGTAGGGGGGTGAAACAGCCCCCGCGGACAGAGTGGGAGGGAAGAAAAAGAAGAAGATAGCGATTGCCAGGGAAAGTGAGAGGGCGGGGGTCGAAAACCGAGAGCGAAGCCGGCAAAGAGCGAAAGAAAGAAAGAAAGGAAGGAAGGAAAGGGTGGACGAGGCGCGGGGGGTGGCGCTCGGTAGGAGAGCGCACCGTGGCCGACCGGTAGGGGGGGTGGAAGAGAGTGGCGAAATACCGTAGTTCCAGGCCTGGTAAGAAACAAAGAACAGAAAATTGATCGTTTGTTAAGTTTTATGTTCCCCGGGGCAGGCGAGGGTGGTTGGTCTGCCACATCCCCACTACCTTCGGTGGCCTGGCTCGGTGGTGCGGCTTTCCTTCTTCTCGTTCCGGCTGCTGTCTCCTTTCAACCCTCCTCGCACGACGCGCAATAAGACGAATCGAGGAAATTCTCCGCCCGGCACCGCCAAGGAAGAGAGGTGGGCACGCAGAAAAACGTACACGGAGAGGAGAACGAAAAGGGGTGGTTGAACGGGGGTTGCCTGGCTTGCGAACCGATAGAGACACGTGTACGAGGAAAAAACGAGCCGGGACGGAAGGGACAGCCGGACGAACGGACGTATCGTCCAAGTCAATGGAAGCTGGACGAAATTGCCTTCGTCCTACGCCGTCGTTCGTCTCTCCCCTTTCGCCGCAGAGGGACGAAGTTTAATTACGGGGAGAGAGGTGTTCGTCGTACCGCCGTTTCTTTCGCGAAATTCCAAATCTTTCGGAAATTAAATCGTGCCGTAGACATTTTTACTTTTTACCTCACAAACCGGTCTACGATTTGTAGTTCATTACTTCAAAGAGCAATTCTCTTCTCCAAGCAGTCGCTTCTCTTTCCCAATACGATGTATGACAAGATCATTTATACTTCGAATTGAAATCCCATTCTCTTAAAATGTCGTAAGATTCGAGGGCGATAAATTTATTAAAATGACTTTTTATCCGAGAGAAATCGGTTTGAGCTGTCCGCACAATGGTAACAGCAGAGCTGCTGTACGTAGCAATTTGGGCGGACAAAAAAGGGCAGAGAGCCGCGTGTCCAATCTACGGAAAGTGAGAATGGAGTACTATGCGTTTCGACGATAATACAACGTGGCTGTAACGTGTTAAACGACGCAGAGCTCAGCGAACGAGCGGTCGGGCGCCTCTAAAACATTTCAAAGCACAAAATAGCTGAAACCGAGCGTACACGTTGGAAAAGGGATTTTAAAGCGAATAGGATACTATCGAGTTCAACGAAGGGCAAACCCGTCACTATTAACCGCTCGCCAGTTATAACAATTATTCTTTCGGCTCAACGCCACCGATTATCCCGACGAAAGTGAAATTTACCCTTTTTCCTCTAATCTTTACAAATGCTTGCAGAACGCTTTTAGGCTTTGTCATAGTTAATCTTTTTTTCCACGGTAGAGCCTCAATTCGTCCAAATTGATTAATTTTGTAATTCAACTGATAGACATTAAACAACAGTAAATTACGTAATTCATGCTGAACAACGTTTCGTTTAATTAGTATAATACGTATGTGTATCGAACGCGGGGCAAGTTAAATATTTTCTTCCCCTATCGAAGTTAAATGAACACGTGCCAATTTTAAAGGATTAACTCATCAAATTATCCGGGACGAAAAAGCTTGTTGTTTTCCCGTGACTTAATGAAATTAACAGGTTCATCGACCGAGGGAATGAACCGAAGTAATCGAGAGGAAATCAACGAGTTTGTACGAGCCGTGGCTAGTCGAGGGACGAATTTATGCAAATTGACGCGTTTACCGTGGCGTGTAGAAAAGTCACGTCCCTGGTGAAGGCGGGTAGATTGAGGAACGGAGGGTTTACCTTGTGCGCTCGGAGAGTCTTGCCCTCGCAGGCCAGAGTGACGTCGCAGTAAGCTTGCCGCTCGAGCAGCTGTGAGAACATAGTCTGCAGGTTGCTGTGATGGTATTTCCATCGTAGGCAATACTGTTGGGGAAACATGTTGGACGATGACGACGACGTCGCGGGAGGTGTCGTTGCTGAACAGCTTCGTTGCTGAAGCATGCGCGGAGGATAAAGGACCTGGCACCGGCACTATTCGCCGCCAAGATCCGTTTCCTTCGTGGTTCACCGCGTGATACCACCCGCCTTCCTTCTCCTCGCTCTGAAACAAAAACCATTGGTCCTTTTTGTAGAATTAGCAGCGTTAGACGTTAACATAGCAAGATAGACGCGTTCCTTGCATTCGCAAATCATTTATCATCAAATGACTCATAATAACGAATGATGTAATTCGAAAAGCCGATAATTGGAACCGCTAGTAGATAAAAATCGTGGAATGAAAAAATCCGTTCGTTCTATAATACAATAGGCGATTCAGGATGGAACAGTTTCGATCCGATTCGACGGTAGATATACTTTTCGCGCTCGTTCCCACGATACTCGGGTCTAATCAATTATCTTTCAAGTTAGCAGTACCTCGGGCTAAAATTACGTTTGGAAATTGCGATAGGTTCGAGAGGCCGCGGTAATTTACGTTTCCTGCTAGACCACTTTGTTCCATCCGCTTCCGGAACGCCCGATGGGGGCGAGTAGTCGAACAGTTGTGTTTACGATTTTTATAATTCGTCTGCTGATCGCGTCTGCAATGTAAAAGAGGACAAACGAAAAGCAAAGGAAAGAGAATCTATTATCGAAACGATATAATATCGTAAAAAATAATAACACGATGTCGAACAATTTTTTGAAAATTATCATCTTATTTTGCGCAGCGATAATAAAATGTAGTATTCGTTCTGACTACATAAACGTAAGCCAGAAATTACTTACAGATATCGTTGGATGCCAAGTCAGCAGGTGGGTTCGTTCTCAAAGGGTAACCAACCCAGTCCTCTGTCTGCCGGACGAACGCTTCTAAGACGGTGCTCTCGGAAGCATTTACACGCGAATCGGTTTCAACTTACACTGTAACACAGAGAATAAAGCTCGGTTACGACGCGGAACAGATTCGAGGCTTTTCGCCGACTCGACTTGAGCAAAGTTTAATATCGGTTCAAGTTCGATTACGGGGGTTCGATTCCGAAGACAATTGCGTTCAATTGCCTCGAAACGGGTCCCGATCCGGTGCTATTTGCCTCGATCGAGTCTGCTTATCTACTAATTACAATTAGCCGCGCTCGGTTCCACTGGATTCAGTTCGAACTAGTCGATAGCTAGTTTCCCGGATGACCGATGAAAATATGATCGACCCTCTTAATTCACGTCTACGTGGGATCGCAAACGACCGGTTTTATGAACCAATTTGCTTGACGCGTTCCTGCTGCTGCTGCTGCTGCTGCTGCTTGCAAGTCTACTCGGAAAGAAGATAAGAAATTCCAATGATGAGGGGGTGTAATGCTTCCTGTCGCGTCGATCGTTTGTCTCGAGACCAGTAATCACTATTAAATCGATTGTTCCACCGCCTGGGATATCGATCTGCATATCATCTTAACCGGAACAGTCTCAACTCGGCGATAGCAAGGTGCTTTAGGTAATGAAAATTTCATCTGGTGGATCCGCCTTCTTGTTCCGTGAAATCGCAAGACGCTTGAACAATACGATTTGCATAATGGATTATATTATTTGGCTGGGTCTATGGGACTCCGTTTTAGCACTTCTGCCGCGTTTTACCGAGTGCCGGGTCGAGACAGATAGGCGAATTTCAGGCGGTGGGAATCAGAGACACGTCGGGTCAAACGAATATTTAACAAATCCGATTAAGATAGTACGCGGAAACGAGAGAACTATTTCCCCTCGATATCGTTCGAAGTTCTTTAAGGATTCGTTCGCGGGAAACCTCGACAGATCTTCAGCGAAGCAAGAAAGTTGGGACGCAACGGAACGAGCCTCGGGGAAAAAGAAGTTCGTTGCATTATCTGGAAACGATTAACGCGAGCCGCTTGTATCTATTAGCATAATTACGGAGAGTGACTTGGTAAAATCGTGAAAGTCGAATATCGACATTCAACTTTCATCGGGGCCCCCGTTGACGAAGTTTCATTAAAGTCCGAATCGGAAAGCTGATTTCGCGGGTGTCCGATTAAAATCAATGACAACCGGTTACGTATCGTTGTCCCCCTAATGAAACCCATCATTCGGTGTTACAGCTGTAACTCTGTTTACCTCGTCGGATCGGGGGATCAATTTTTAATCGCGTTCTAATAAAGTTTGTCGCTTCATGACTCTTTCGTAATGCAATTCTCGATACTTCATGGAGCATTACGAAGGTCAATTATTTATCTGACTCGTTCTTTTTAAAATGAAAAAATTAAAACCGCTCCGTTCTCATTTAGCCACGAAGTGAAAAGTTAATTTCGGGCTCGGAACGGGTATTATTTTCTGGTCTCTGGCTTGTAAACTGGTCAACGTCTCTCATCGTGGATGGAGGGTAATATCTAAGGCAGAGTTTAGGCTGCACGCTCGACTGCGGTTTTAAAATTCCCTCCGGGCTAGCTTCCATGGAACTCGTCTCGGTGGATCGTGGGAATCAATAAATTCCCCGTATCGGAAAACGCTGAGGGTACAGGATACGCGGGAAAAATCGACAAGGCGCGAATTCGCACGAAATTACTATCCCATCTCTTTCATCATAATCCCAATTCCGTCCTCCGCCACGGTTTTTACCCTCCCCGCGCCACTCCTTGCAATTTTTCTCATTTTGTACTAAGAAGATCGAACGGAATCTCCCATTACAACCTCATTAATCCTTGTACTATGTTTTAAACTAGAAAATGGGGTTTCTAGAAAATGAAGGACATTCCCAATCCTCTATACGCCACGATAATACATTTTTCTAATAATCCCTTAAGTCATTTTGTACGCACTCTTTATACTTTTCATAAATTTTTTATGAATGCATAACATCTGCAGCCCAGTTACATTGAAATTAAAATGAGAAGAGCAATTCCTTGTCATGACTGAGTCGAATTACTTTCTAACGCTCTCTTGTTTTTATTTTTTATTAAACCACTCGCACGATGTTAATAAAGCTTTCTCAATTACTGGTAGATTCTTGGAGCTTTTCGTGGTCTTTTAGACTTCTTCTTCCATACTGTAATTTTCATCTCCGGAATTCCTCCATCACCGCCGTCTTCCCTTATATTCGCCGAAAAAATGTCGATGGAGCGTCAAAAGGCCGAGGTAACCGGACGTCAAACATTTTTGTCGTCGTTCTCGGAGGGCATCTCGGTATTCAGGTCTCGGTACATTAACGTCCAGAACGGTCGGCGCATTTGTCGCATTTTCGTTCTACGTTCAAGTACACGGTCCGATTGCGACTCAACGTGTATCAAATAAAATGAATCTAGTAAACCGAAATATTTCCGCGGCTGAATCCATCGCATTGGTAAACGCTTACGTAAACGGCGTACGCTAACGAAGTCTGCACTCTAGCTGGATTTTGCACTTTTACCGTGACATACAATAAGGATAACAGACCGAGACGTGTACGAGGTAGCCTAGATTCTGGCGAGATACTTTCTATTGTGTTCGGAGTTACCTTTCGCCGTTAAGAAAATAGCCAGGACCAGGAAGAGCGCGGTTTGCGAGTGACCTTTTGGAAATCCGGATGAAATTGGGAAATCGGGTTAGACCGTGGCCGATGCGACCGATCCGATCCGAGATACGGGCAGCACGAGAAACGTGACCGTAGCTCGCTAATTACCCGGCCGCATGCATTTAATTAAAATTGGATCGCCGCGTTAGAGCGTTGAAACGTTAATTCGTGCCTATTGTCGAGATAGATCGACTTGTTTGTCGATCGGGTATTCGCGGAGGCTCGTTCGGAAGCCGATCATCCGACGTACATCCCCGTCCATAAATCTCGGGATATATGAAACGTATGACCGGACGAGATGCTCTGAGGTCGTCGATGAACAAATGAAAATTTCTAATGATTTAATTCGATATTTTAAATGTACAGTTTTATTGAAACTATTTCATATAATTTTTATATGATTTACTATAGCGTTTCAATTCAGCCAGTCTCTGATGATCGATGGACAATAAGTAGAATACTGAGAAATATACTAAAGACTTGTGAACACGAGTGTATGTAAAATAGTCTAGCTGATGGAATTCAGAGCAGAAACGGTACAGTCGATGCTTCGAATATCCGTTCGGTAGGAACGCAAGGCCATTCGACAGACAATTTTAGTAAAATCCTATTCACGAAATGCCGAGAAAAACAGAAGTCAGTCACCAAGGAAGTAATTAAAACAGAAAACCCGAAATTAAAAGAAGAGCGTGCAAGGGTAGGGGGCCCAGGCTCGGGGGATGGGAGGCAGAAAAAATGAGAAGCTCGATTTTAATTATAGCTCCACTCGGCCTTCTGAATTAATAAAGAAAGGATTGAAACAGAAGGGAGTACAAAGTCTCTCTACTTTTCAATTCCTTCCTAGAACGCGTTAAAATCAACGGCGCATTAATTTCGAACCTCTCATCGGGCAAATACGAAATTAATACAACCGGGAGAGGAGAGAGTTTCGCCGTGGTGATTTTTCTCTCGTCCCTGAAAAATCCGTATGGCTGGTCGCGCTAGCGGGGCGCGTTATCTCGGTTCACAGGTCGCGAGCCCTACAAATTAATCGGAAGATTAATCTGCGATCGTTTCTCGAACTTTCAAACGGTACGAAAGAGAGGGGTGGAATCCCACTCGTCGACTCGGCGAGAGGCTTCTTTCACCCTTTTTCTTTCTTCGATTATTCCGTCGGAGCGAATTGCGTAGCGAACGGGCTGCGGCAAGTGGTCTCGTCGAGAGGCCGGAACGGTACTGTTATAATTTGCGTAATCGAAGCTTTCGCGCCGGAAGATCGTAAAAACAACTGAACCGTGCGTGCACTTACTTATTCACCCGTAATACCGTCTTCTGAATTCCACGATCGAACCAAGAACAGAATTCTGGATCAGCCCTCTTCGTTCAAGAATGTATGTCTCTTCCAAGTTTTTTTAAGGGCTTTTTAAACAAGAGAAAACTCGGAATTCAACTGGTGTAAAAAAAATCACAGTGGCACAACAACTCGGCGTCCTCCGGGAGAAAGAAACTTTCGGTTCACGTCGAAACGCGACGGGGAGAGCAGGGGGAGCCTTCGGAAAAAGTTAAAACAATGGATCAACGTGGAAGCAGGTTTAATTAACCTTAAACGTCGGACAAAGGTGGTGGCGGATCTGAATTTGGAGTGAAAAAAAATAGAAGAAGCCTTCTGGAAAGTTCGCGGGCAACAATTGAAAATAACTCCGCGGGATACTTCTGAATAGCTCCGGGCCAACGACAATCGGCCGAAGTTGAAACTTTGGCAGACGAGAAGCCATGAAACTTCCAAGACTGCAATTAACTGCGGCGAACAACGGCGAATAAATTCGTAGGGCCAAGTTCGCCGGAATCGCGTTTCTCCATTTTTCTCTTTTTTTTCAATGAAAACAAAAGGAGCTACCGAACGCAAAACTGTTGAAATCGAAAGATACGTGAGAGGATTTCCAATATAAAATCTTTCCCCTTGGAAAAATATACGTCGGATCAGGAGAGACACGTCGTTGCTAGTTTTCATTCTTCAAATCAGGGAATCAACGTGCAAGTTATTACTCAAAGTAGAATTACGTGATCTAATGCGACGGATTACGATCTGCACAAAATCTCTCCTTTTGAAAACATCAGCTCATCATAAGGAACTGAATCGGTTGTCGCGCAGTTCACCTCTGACTTTTAAGGATGTATAGGCTATATACTTAAACAATGCTAGCGTGTTGAGTTTGTTATTATAGATTCCTATTACTATTAAAAAGCTACCTGCAAAATTTTAAATCAATTCATGGATTTTCTGAAGAATTATAGAGACT